GAAGTTTTGTATTTATAATTGAAAACATAATTATCTGTTTATTGTGTATTGCTATTTACAGATGTTTTAACAAAAAGTGAGCTATATTACAAATTTTCTTAATTCGTACATATTCAATTAAAACCTTGTCAAACATCGACCAATGTTAATTTGTTGATTAAAAAAAATGTCAATTATGTCCGAGGTCAAGCATAGAAGCAAGCAGCGTAACGCTTTGCTTCTAAGAATTGTGAAATTCACCAATATGCACATGAAGTCACAGAAATGTTCTTCTTCCTTTACCATTCTAATTGTACACAACACTGATTAGTGATTATGATTCATGCAAAACGCAGACCTTGGAACATTCTCATGACAGCAGAATAATTTCTTTCTTTCTTATGAATGAAATGGGAAATTTAGTAGTATTACAGTAGTTCTTAAAACAGTCATTGGTAGCTCATAGAAGCCATTGCTACAATCATAGAAGCTTTTGAATACGAACCACCAACCTTCAAGTTGCTTCATTTGGGATCCGAAGTACGAACCCCCTGGCGCTTGAAGAATTCTCTGAATCCATAGGGACTCATATCATAGTTGTACTGCGAATAGAAGGGGAACAAACAATCTTTAGACTCTGCAATAGTGAATAAGAAGGCAGATTTTCGTTTCGAAAAGGTTAATGGAAAAGACAATTTGTTATGTGTAAACTTACAGGTACAACTTTCACTGAATACCGAGTGACATTTGGATCCTGTACCTTTCCTTCATTACCCGCCTGCATCAGAAGGATTAACATTATACAAGATAAAACCAAAGGAGCATGAATGGTTTAAACAGGTTAGATACCGTAAATACAAGAAAAGGAACTATACTTGTTGTGGGCTGTGGAATATTTCAATGAAAGGGTATTCACTTTTCTGGCGAGTTATGCAGAATCCGGGATACTTGGGGCACTCAACCTGAAACAACAAAATTCAGCACAACAGTCACTTAATGGTTAGAAAGTTTCCATCTAGTTTTTGTGTTGTTTAGGAACTCACACGCATAAACTTAATGTTGGGATAGAACTCAGCAGCCGCTTCCTCAAGCATCCGGTCAAGATGTTGTGTGTAGTTACTTCTGCTTGATAGAAAAAGACGCATGTGAGTGGGAATACAGCGAAGAAGGAGCGTAATCTGAGAGAGGTTTTGGAGAGAGTTAAGTTACCTTATGGTGAATGCGACAACCACGGGGTAGCCCTGGTGAAGAAGTTGGACAAACTCTCTTTCTGATGTAAAATGGATGACCCGCGATGGCCCGAGATCCTTAGGGTAACCGCTGTAATACCTTCATTTCAACAAAACCAATAAGCCCATCTTCATGAGTGACTGTGTCTACGGAATTTGCAAGTTATAATGAAAGAAATTCAAACTCATTACTTGCAAGTCGAGCGAAGCTGAAGAAGCATTCTATCGAGAAATGATGAATCTCCCATCTGAGCACACCAAATGTATCTGATTCATAAAATGAAAACAGAACAATACTTTAAGAACATAACTTTTATCACTTCTTAATTCATATTTCCTATTTAAGAGAATTGATGTCCTCTATCTACCAAAACCCAATGAAAAGATTAGTATACTCATCATTACAAGTTAGTAATCCGTTTGTAGAGAAGGACACATTTTTTTCCCTCTCAGGCATTTCATCGAACAACTTGAGCACGCTCATAAAAAGCATCCACTGATCTAATTACAACTATGCAAAAAAAGTCGTACGCTTTCCAAATTCGCTATCTTCTATATTTGATAGCAGGAAAATTCTGACAAAAGATTTTACAGGAGAAACTAAACCTCAAGGCAACAGTTCG